ATTCTACACGTGGGCGAATTGGCAAACGCAAGATCGATGATTTTATGCGTGGGCGAATTGGCGTGGGCGAAATGGTCCGTGGGCGAAATGACTGGTTACCTTCTGAGAGGATCTAAATRTGTTGACGATTGTACATAAGGGTTTCTGTTTACTTTATCGCMTCAGCAAAAAAAGGTTTGACTCATTGGAATTTTAGTTTTAGGCGTTAATCGAATTATTTTACTTCAAGTTGCATCTTTCCTTGATTCTTTTGATATAAATAATCCGAAGATGAAACTAAGTGCGAGTGTGCGCATGTGCAAAGTAGGTCCACAGTGCTAGAAGGTATCCCACATGAAACATCAACAGTWCATTTCCTCATATAAATAGCGAACGTAGTCTATACTGAATAAGAGCTTTGTGCTTGTTAGTGTYGTGTAACGTTCGTAATCAGATGTTCGTTATACGTTTAATTATCGATCCGCTAACATTTTAGTGAGTGAGCGAGCGAGCGAGCGACGAGTGAACATTTGCATATTCAGACCCCTCACAATAACTCGTTTCTACGCTTCGCGTATCCACGAGTTAAAAACGGTGACAGAATTGGTGTGCTTGTGCAACATGAAGCATGCATGTCAACAATGGYACTTCATGAGCGTTTGTTACAGAACCCATGCGATGTGAAACTGACTCAGCTTTTTACATTGACAATATTTGAACCCTTTAATGGGATAACTGAGCTCCGTAAGCAGAATATTAAGCCCTGAATACTTACAAGTGAATATTCTACACATATACATGATTCAAAAATGTTGCTGTGTATCTATCAGCAGTAGACACATGTACTCATCTAGTACGTATTTTTTAATTAGCTGTGTGCATGCCTGTCTTTAGCAAAACATTCCAAGCCTTAAGCTGTCTCGGGACTTTGTGATTCTCTCAAAATTTCAAGTTTTTAAAAAAACCTCCATTAAACTGCCATTGCTTCATCAAATAACGTTTCTTTATCGCAATATCACATGATTGATGAATGTCATCACACATTTGCATAAAACATTTACAATACATGTCAATCCAAACTCTAACATGGTTTTCCTAGGGCTTGCAGAACGTTTAGGAACAGAAAAAACACTTTAAAAAACCCTCAAAAATGCCAAGGTGTCAAAGGGTTAAGCTGTAAGTGTTATGCGTTAGTTTTTAAACATGTGATCCATTTGTGTGGGAAAAAGGTGTACATCAATCCTACCTCCTCTTTGACAAGGTTATTCATTTCTCTCAGCATTTCAATATCTTTTTCTATGGAAATAAAAAATACAACATTTGTATAAATAATTCATTTTTGATAATTCTTGTTGCAAATGTGGACTAGTAATCATAATCTTTTAAATAAATAAGTCAGTCTGTCARTCCACGCTGGGAACACGCTTTACGATTGTTTCGCCTACGCATTGGTTCGCCTACTGAAGTTTGCCTACGWATAAGTTTTCCTACTGAAGTTCGCCTACGTATCAAATGCATTATAAAACCTATCTATGAAGGGTGAGTCAGTAAATATACTGTAAAAAGGAAAAAATAGTTCTCGTGTAAAGAATAAAACTTTTATATGAATATAAGCAAGGCAAACAAAGTAAGAGAAACACTGAAGACTTTAGACGCGAACGAGTAACTGGTAAGCGTTGTGTAACAACATCGTAAACCAAGAAAAGTCTTGAAACCTATCTAAACAAGTGTGACACAGTAAATATATAAAAAAGGTAAAACAAAGCAACTGCTGTTGAGTAAAGTAAGAGAAACGAATAATAAAGTATAAAGGACGCCACACAAACTACAACTCTTCGGAATGATAGTTATCGTGCTATGATTACTGTGAGATCATCTTAGAGTGACCTGTTATGGAATATTATGGCGTGTTTATGCTTGCTTTACTGAGGACCAGTGTAATAAAGCATTTAATTGTTAAAACACGTCACTGCATGTTGGTCACTGATTGAGCCAAAATGAGGTTGTTTTGATAGCGTAGGGTTTTAGGACAGGGAACCAGACATGTGACTTCTTATATTAAACTCTATTTTGTAATTTAAGCGTATTACATGGTACTCAAGAGTTAAAAAGAAAGTTGGTTTTTGAGTAATGACTTAAAGTG